CCTGCCTTGGAGACTCAAATTCTGCACTGACAAAAAGGGATGTTTTACCAGTGTCCATGAGATGAAGAAGTCACATTCTGCAGACAGCATATGCAAGCACTTTTGCACAGTGCTACCACTAGGTCAATAAGTCTGGGAATGTCTCTCTCCTCTAGACTTTCTCCATCCAGAGAACATCTGTCCCCATTTCCTGTGTTCCTTTGGTCTTCTTTTGATTTATCTCTAAGTCCATTCCTGTTAAAGCTGCTTCACTCTCAGCCCCACAGATGGGAACAGTGTGTGTGTTGTTACATATAGTAACAAGGTTCATCATCATCATCACTCTTACCCCAACCTGACAAGCACTTATTTGCTGCCTTTTGAAGGAGTTACTCTTTTTCACTATACTGCAACCCTTTCTTAGAAGTTTTCCAACTACTGGTACTTCATATTTCCAGCAGAAAGTTACTTTGTTTTAAATACGTTTAAAAGACAATACATAGGACTCATTTAAATCTAGTTTAAAAATTGGGGCAATATACAGGCTATTGTGAGGCCAAATTCTCTTGGGTGAAACCAATTCAGTGAGGTAGGAACCAATTCTGAGGTACTGGGAATCTCATGTGAGATTCTGAGCTGCCTCAGTATTCAGTATATAATTAAATGTGACTGAATATACTCTAGCTCAGTTTGAGCTGGAATAAAGTAATCCCAACATCACCATCTACATATGCATTTAAGCGCAGTAATTTACCGCTCTGCCAGATACCACTTGTATCTGATGGGACTATCAGGTAGCACAGTAAATTACTCTACTGCACCCTAATTGCTGCACACACGTAGACAGTGATGTGTAGTAATAAGCATCTCATGTAGCTCACAGTCTTCAGTTTAAGACCTCCTATCAGGTGTCTAATCACCACCTAAATTCAACTCTATTGTTATGCAAAGAATAGGTGTTAGTTGTTAAAACTTTCCAGTTCAGGTCCGAGACTTAATGTTTCAAGTACAGGTAAAGTTACAACACAATATTTATAAAAATGAAGAAGCATTTCTTGTTTCAGGATTAAAGGTGAGGTAAGAAGATAAAAACCAGTTATCCTTTCAGAAATAAAATAAAACCACCCCTGTAGTTGATGAAGATTACTCAAGCTAAACATTCACAGTGTGATTAGACTAGTGTACAGGAACAACTTTGTTCATCGTTGAGACACAGGCCAAGTGCGTTAGTTTAACTTAATCAATTTTCATGGAAAGCCTTATATAAAAAAATCTTAACCACCTGCATTTTCCTGATGCTTTCTATACACGTTCCATACTTTTACAACAATGATTTATATGAGTAGTGGCTCAAGCTGCCAAGCAACCAGTTCTCCGCTGGGACCATGGGACCAAGAGTGAATGTGGCAGGGGAAGGTCAGCTTGGAGATGTGGGGATTCAGGATGTTTATTACATGGTCTCTGCTGAGGTGAGGGTGGTTGAAATACTTTTAACGTCTTTCTCCCCCACCAAGGAAAAGGGACTGTATCATCTAAATCACAAGCTCTGTTCCGTATGGACAGAGGAAAGTGTTAAATGTAATGTTTTGCACCTAGAGAGGTGACCAGCACTTCAGCAGTCATATAAGATCTCAGACATTTAATGAACACTACAGATATGATTCCATATAAAATAGTACTAACACACTTACCTCAAAAAGGGGAGGTTGGAAGGAGGAAGAAGTATGAAAATAATTATTAACAACTAAGGAAACCAAGACATACAGTTAAAATGATTTTTCCAAAGCCACACAGCAAGCCAGTGGCAGAGTCCAGGTTAAAATGTATGATTTACAAATTCCCAATGACCCATTCATTCATCCAAACTACACTACTTTTCTGCAGCTGTAAGCTTCCCCTGAAGACGCTTGCCAATTCTGCTATAATTTTTACAATAGTATTATAGTATCATACCTGCTTCTAAATAGTGAATTAGTTTTGGAGAAAGATCAACAGAATGCAATTTTATCCTTACAGTTAGTATGTCATCAACTGGTTCTTTTAATCATTTTGGGAGTAGGGGGCAGGGAAGGGAAAAGGTTTTCTAATTCCATAGGTTTGCCAAATTTGAGATTTTTATGAGTATAGTTTTTCATGCTCGTCTAGACCCTTCTTTACAGTCTCACTTTCTGTCCTCTAGAACCAGTGATAAGTAAAACTACAGCACAGCTTTCAGACAGCAAAATGGTTGATAAACACTGATGTTAATTTATTTTGACAAGCCCTAACCGCCATTCCCGTCGTATAAGTGTGTTTTATATAAACTTACTGTAGTTTACAATAATGTAGGCCTGTACAACTTCACCACATTTGGATTTATCTTGACAGATTTTGCAATTCTATATTTAGATGATTGATATATTTTTCTTTGGAACTTCTAAGTAACTTTTAATTTATCAGACCCAGGATCAGCTAAATCACAGAACTGATTATTCAACCTTGATAAAGGAGAACTCGTTTAAAATTTTCCATTAATATATAATGTGTGTGTGTTAAGGGAAAGATGTTGAGAAAACATTTGATAGCTAAAGTAAATAAATGTTGCAGTTTCATGAACTGCATCATTGCTGACCAAGTTAAATGTCAGCTCCTAGCTGTGAAATAAAATGCAGATCTACTGCTCAGCCTCAGAGTATGTGTGACCTCTAGTGGTAGAAGCTGGTAAATGAAACACTGATAGAACAACACCAGCCAAAGAACAAAAATGTTTCATGTATCTCATTAATATAACTGTGTTTCTCCCCAGACAGAAGTTGGCACAATATTACCTTTTGTAACTCAAGACAGTTACTCCTCTGCACCACTGACTGAAGAGCCTGAGGAGGAAGCATCAACGCCAAAACTTATTGACGGTTCCTCGCCACTGGGCTCTGGAGTTCTTGGGCCCCAAACACATGATGGTTAGTAAAGAAAAAAAACAAAACAGGGGGGCATGTCATGGGGTTGACTTTCATGCTGTACTGTACAAGCTGTGCTCACAGATGGATTTGTATATCTTTTCTTAAATGTCTAGCATAGATTGAATATTGAGATACAGAAATAGCCAAAACATACAAAATAATTTCTGATGAAAAATGGCCAGTTCAAAATTTCACAAAAGGAACTTTTTCATAAGAGTCAATATGTTCGGCATACTCAATATTTTGTTAAAGTTACCACAATAGTTTTATTGATATTTTATCTGAAATATTTTCCAACAAAGTACATTTTCATTTTTAACTGCCTTTAATGGATTTTAGTAGACATGAGTTTATTGAGTCCATAGAATCATAGAGAAATAGGGCTGGAAGGGACCTCCAAAAGGTCTTCGAGGCAGGAACATCCCTATCCAAACCATCCTAGACAATCCATAATCTAAACTTTATATAAGATTACCATTAACCCCAATACAATGAAAACCTACACCTTAATCTGCCACAAGTAAAGCAGGGGAACCACAGCAGCCAATGTCCTGGTACCATGAAAAATTGAGAATATAAGCTCGAGATCCTGGGTAGAGGGCCATTGCCCTCGCTACAGAGGAAATCAACCCCCTACCCCAGTCCATACCATTCTGACTGTGGGATAAAATGCCTTCCTGACCCAGAATATGGTGATGGGTCTAACTGAGCATAAAGGCAAGACCTGCAAGCATTTGTCCCAGCACGAGCATTGGTACACCCCAATCAAAAGTCCACAGCCTTGGCTATAGCCAACACCCAATGCCTCTAAGGAAGGCTTAAAAATACCCTGACACGTATAGCAGAACAGGGCAGGGGGGAGGGCATGGGGGGCAACCAGCAAAGCCCAGAAGCATGGGAAATAAGTACAGTAGAACTAGGGGGGCACTATAACTAGATCATCCCCAACCACTATCTGCCCAACCTCCTCTTGAGCACTTCCAATGATGGACAGTCCCCAACTTCCCTATAAAGTCTATTCCATGACCTCCCTATTCTAGCAGCAGAGAAGTTTTTTTCTGGATAACCAATCTAAACTTACTTTGCTAAACCTTCAAGCCATTGGTCCATGTCCCCTTCTCTTCTCATGTCTCCTCTTAAGAACCGTTCCCACAAACTTACCATGCCTCACTCTATTAGCCTCTCCTCATATGACTTGCTTTCCAAGCCCTTTATCATCTTTGTTGCCCACCTCAGAAGACTAACTTCTCCATGTCCATTTTAAAATTTGGAACCCAGAGCTGCACACAATACACCAGATGAAGCCTAACCAGTGCTGAGTTCAAGAAACATTTAAACATATATTAAAACACACAATATGAAAAATTTAGCAAAAATGGAACATGGGCCCATTTCAAAACTTGCAAATAAGAAGTAACTTACAAGAAATTCCCCATGAAACTGGTTTTCTAGTTTTGGACCTCATTTCATAACATAGGGATTTTTTATAGGTTATAATTCCTTTAAAATGTAGAACAAAACGAACTCTGTAAAACATAAAAATAACTCCACTGAATATTAACAATAGTTAATGGCTAAACTAAACTGAAGTTGAATATGGAAGAATTTTGGCTTGTGGTCTGTGCTTTAAAAGAACAAGCACCACAGCCAGTATTCCCTTTGAGTATTGTCAGGTAGCCGCAGATGATGGTCTTTATGCTCCCTGGAGATTGACATTTTTGGAGGGAATAAGTGCTAAGTATTATTTCCCTAGTTAGTTACATTTTCTAGTCTAATAGGCAACTCAGAAAACAATTAAAAAAAAAAAGCTAGTTAAACTATTTCAAATTGTAAATATAGCTAATGTGCACAAACTATTCAACTGACAAATTAAAATTAACTGACAAATGACGCTTGATTAAAAAAAATATATATATATATACACACACACACACGCACCCCAGTACAAAATAGTCAATTGGATCCATGACTGAAGTGGAATATTTATACCCTTAGTCAGAGAATCAGTAAACTTTTAGGATATTCACAATGATCTCGAAGTCATCTAGCCAAGCACAAATTCCCCACCATGTGGAAAACAGAATAGGAAGTAGAAAACTTTGCAAATAAGGTGAAATAGTATATTTTAATGCTGTTTCAGCAGTAGCTAAATGTTTTATTTATAAATGCACAGCTTTCAGGCAGTTATAACTCAAGGGATGATGGGCATCTGTCCTGATGTCAAAGTTCTGGATCAGAGATGTTAATTAAAAACAATGAAAAGGAAATTGAGATCCTGTGTACCCTGTAAAAAAAATTCATTTCCTTAAAAGCCATCCCAAAATACTGTTTACAGAACTAAGCTTAAGCAATGCAATAAGATTCAAAGCCAGCACACTTGAATCCCTAGAGTAGTAACTGGGCAGGTCAGTGGGACGAGTTTTACTACTCTGTTCGAGGGTTGGGTGTTTTTATGTAAAGCTGTCTTTTCTCATGAATAAGTTTCTTATGAAAGTGGTGACATGTGGTGACAAAGTTACTTTTCTCAGTGGTGACATGTAGGCGGTGCATGGGAGTGAACATGCACCCCCTGAGAGCATCGGTGCACCCTCTGATCAGCTGTGCTCGCTACTTAGGTGATGGGCGGGGGGGCAGGTGGGAGTGCTAGTGCCCCCCCTGCAAGTGCTAGCTGATCTTTGCAGACGCTTCCACCTGGGCATTGAGATCTGCTGTAGGGGGACCCCCTACCCCGCAAGCAGCAAGACTGGCCGCAGAGGGGGCAACAGTCGCCCATGAGTTTTCTTGTGACTGCTCTTTTTAATCAAAAGTTCTTACATCACCAAAGACATTTAATCAGTAACTTTTGTTTTTAATTATTATGTAGTAAAAACTTTGATGGGTCTCATTACATGCATATATACATATAGGCTTGGTTTGATAACATCAGCTAGGAACACAAATTAGACATTAACTGGTATAAATGATCAGAAACCAGTTCAAATCTGTAAAACAACAGAAGTTCAGTGCACATAAAACACTTTCAAATGGTCTAGACAAGTTTAAGATAAACCTGGATAGATGTAGTATTAGACTTAACTGATTTGGGTTAAATTGGTTTCTTCAATTTCTGTCCCAAATCCCCTCCAGATTCAAGTTAATTCACAGTCCCCTAGAATCCAAGGATGCTTTGCACCTCCCCTGCAAACCCCTCCTCACAGAGTGGGTGGGCTAGCCTTGGCCCAAGTCGTCTACTCTAGCCAAGAAGGGAGTTGTGCTTTGGCACCCTCCAGCTTCTGGCCTGAGCCACTACAGGTGTGTGGCTGCATTTCCAGAATCAAAAGTGAATGTCTCTTCACTTGTTTATCAGTTTGATCCACAGTTTAGACTAGAGACCCTCTGGGTGAAGATTCCAGGGAGCTCAGGAGAGGCGGATCTGATGGTGGGAGTCTACTATAGACCTCCCTGCCAAGAAGAGGAGTGCGATCAAGCATTCTCCAGGGAACTGACTGAGGCAGCCAGCACTAAAGACCTGATTGTCATGGGTGACTTCAACTACCCTGACATCTGCTGGGAAGACCATTCAGCCAGCTCAAGCAGGTCAACCAACTTCCTGGCAGCTATCAACAACCTGCTCTTGACACAGGCTGTGGAAGGACCAACTAGGGGTAAAGCCTTTCTGGACTTAGTGCTAACCAAAGGGCAAGACATGGTAGGCGACCTGAAGACTGGAGGTACTTTGGGTGACAATGAACACGATCTGACTTCAGAAGGGCAGACTTTGGTAAACTCAGGAGACTAGTCTGAAAGAGACCTGGGGGTAACAATCAACCAGAAGATGAGTATGAGCCAACAGTGCAATGAAGTCACCAGCAGAGCAATAGAACTCTCATGTGTATCAGCCGATGTGTTGCAAACAGATCCAGAGAGGTGCTCCTCCCCCTTATATTCAGCACTGGTGAGGCCACAGCTGGAGTACTGTGTGTAGTTCTGGGCACTGCACTTCAGGAAGGATCTGGATAAGCTCAAAAGGGTTTAAAGAAGGGCCACCCACATGATTTATATTTACTTTATTAAACTTACACTATAACAAGAAAGCAATTTGTATATGATGTGAATTAATCCATTATAAATCACGTTATAAGACCCAAAGATCTAAAAGAAATGTACTCATAACGCTGAAATGTTGACTCTTTGGTCTTCTTGGGAAGACACAGAAATTTAGGAAGCCCAGAACCAAAGACCCAAAATTCCCCTATGTGTTTTATTTATTCAATTTTTTTAAAATTTGTATCCTCAAAACATGTATAAGAATAAGTACAAATTCAATGTTCTAGTAGTGTCAATCTAATCAGACTCCACCATCCTAAACCATGCATTAATATTTTCTGCACTTTATCCCTCTTATGCAAAAAGATTACGAATTAGACTGCAAGTAGTCTCTCAGCTACCACGTAGTGGTGTTCAAGAAACTTCTACTTTCCAAGTTGAAAGAGGATGTGGTTAAACACCAGAAAGGGAAGAGACCTATTTGAATTAGAGGATAATACTGGCATCAGAACCAGGCTGATCATTAGAAGAAGCTTCTTGAACACCACTACGTGGTAGCTGAGAGACTACTTGCAGTCTAATTCGTAATCTTTTTGCAAGAAAGTTAACTAGTCTTAGGATGGAGCTCAATAAATTAATAAAATTAATAAAATAAGATTAAATTATGTGGTGGTTTGATAACAGGAGACTGGACTTAATGAGCCATGCAGTACCTTTAAATGTTATGTGCCTGTACTTATAGTATGTTCTCCCTCTGCAACTTCAGAGGGAGGTCAAGCCTCCACAAGGGGCTGTCCCTGGGACTCAATTGCAATGCCCTGTGCTGAACATTTGTGGCCTACCACCACAATCTTGCCCTATGATAAAGGACAAGCTTTATACGATGAACATAAATAGAATTACAAAGGCTTGTTCAACATGATTCTCCATTGAGAAAGTACCTTTTTATACTAGTATAATGTTATTCGAGCTACTGGAGTTATACCAGTATAAAAAGTACAAGTATCGAGATATTTAGAAAGTAGAAAGACTACAGTAGTTGACTTCAATAAAAATAAAACTCTTGTACCATCCACACAGTGATGACAAATGACATCCTCAGTTTTCCATCCCCAGAGCTCCTTAAACATGCCAAGTGAGAGGGGTTATAAAACAGAATCCTCGAGATTCTCCAAGAGCTCTCCAAGGGGGTGACCACCTGCCATTTACCAACCTCGCATCTGAAAGGAAAGGGATTTGGCTCTCACTGCTCAGACCTGATGAAAAATGTTTTGCATTTGAAAGCTTGTCTAACTATCCCAACTATACAGTTGGTCCAATAAAAAGATAATCACCCCATGAAATCCTTACCTTTCACATCCATCCCAGCCAAATTTGAGACAGAGTTAATAAAATCTTATGGGGAATGGCATGAACACTCTTGATAGGTCAAAAGCATTCAGCATGGAATACATAGTAATTTAAGAGGGAGAGCAAGTCCCTTCTAACACTGAATATGTGCAGTCCTTCTGTCATGCTTAAGCAGAAAACCAAACTAAACAGTGTCAGGGAAAAATCAGGAAATACAGTTTTTAGCAGACCTAAATCAGCAAAACTTTGTGCTTTTCCCATGCGAGGAAGTTTAGAGGCACACCAGTAGCTGTTCAGACTTGGCATCAAAATGGTGCTTAGTAGCAGTACTTAATGGTTTTTCTCTGATGATAAAAACATCTTCTCCTTTCTTATGGAAACATTGACAATCTTATCAAATAAAGAGCCAAATAACACACTCCCTTAAATCTAGATTTACTTCCCATTTTTACATCTTGTAAATTGTGATCTGTATTCAGCTGGTACCATGTGTTATTCCTTGTATTGGGCATCTAAGTGTGATTCTATTTCACTCTGCTCAGGTCAAGGAAAAGCTGGTGATAAAAAATGTCCATGTGAAGAAGGAGGGGGTAGAGGGGAAGGGATCTTTCTCCTCCTGGATGCTTTTTTGTGACTCAGTCTTAAGGGTAAAATGATTGGTTGGTTGGTTTTACAGAAGAAGATATATTAATGGATTTTTAGGGCTTGAATAGGATGGGACCCCTGGAGTACTGAGGGACTAGGACAGGGCAATTTCCCTGCTATACAAACTGCTTGTTCAGAAGTGCTGGAGGTACTCTTCAGAAGTTAAATTACTGGCTTTTATAAACTTTAAGGATCTTAGTATGCCCACTCTACCTTGTTCATCCCCAGATTAATGGTTTTCCTTTACTTTTTTGTAGGCCTTCCAACTTGTCTTCTGTGTACGTGTCTGGGAACCACAGTCTACTGTGATGATCATGAACTCAACGCTATTCCCCCACTCCCTAAGAAAACCACCTATTTCTACTCCCGTTACAACAGAATAAAAAAGATCAACAGAAATGACTTTGCTAACCTAAGTATGGATGCCATACAAGTTTTAAGACCTAATCAGTTTTAAGATGGATCTAGATATAAATTTATGTTATATGAAACTGTTGCTTGTGATAGCTGAACCCTAGACTTGTGACTGGAGAGGATACAGAAAATAAAAATCGTAGGAGAATATTCTCCTCTTGGAGCTTCATGAATACTAATAACAGTTGTGCTTGTTATTAAGGGGAATTAGGATTGGAAGTTATTGGAACCATTATAGGATGCAATGAAAGAAGCAACCTTAGGGGGAGAAGTAATTAATACTGTACCACACTTGGGTGTGTGTAATTCAACAGTGATCATTTGTAGTAATAAAACTGTCTTTGCTTTTCCATCCCTACTTTACTTTTAAAAATATGTATAATTACTGTTATTTATTTTTCTCACAGACAATTTAAAGAGAATTGATTTGACAGAAAACTTTATATCTGAGATTGATGAAGATGCCTTCAGAAAATTGCCTCAGCTTCAGGAGCTGGTGCTCCGTAATAACAAAATAAGGCAGCTCCCTGAGTTACCTGCCACCTTGACATTTATTGATATTAGTAACAACAGGCTGGGTCGCAAAGGAATAAGGACTGAAGCATTCAAAGTAAGTTTGGGATTGATGGAAATAGCTTATCATCTCTTTGATTTAAATTGTGGGCTGTCAGAAAGTAAGATAAGAATTTGTCTTTACATCCTTGCACCAGCTACCTATGTCACTGATATCAGCCTAGAAGGAAAAGCAGGCTTCCTAGAGCTGTTGCCTCCACCTGTTGGAGGTAGGCAGGCAGGGCTAAGAGTAGGCAAGATCTCAGATTTATCCCTTCAGCATAGTCAGAATTGCAGAAACACACATATTTTTCAGATGATACACTGGAGCACATGAGTGTCCGAAGAGCTAAGTGGAATTGGAGCACATGAGTGTCCAAAGAGCTAAAGGGGGCTGATTTGTGTCTTAGGCTGTTAGGGCATTTGTACACATGCTTGTGGTATATAAATTGGTATAAACAGTGAAATGTGTGTCGGTACTGAAAAAATGGCAGCAGCGTGCTTTTGAACGAAAACACATTGGAGATGTTTTAGTTCAAAAGTGCACTGCTGCCATTTTCTGTGTGCTGATGCACATTTCACCGCTTATACAAATGCATGTGATGCAGCGCAGTGCGTGTCAGCTCACATGTGGAGCAGATTCATGCCAGATCTCTGGTGCACCACATCATGACAATGTATGTGTATCAATGCCCTTATTGTTTTGCTCCAGTAATACCCTGCCTCTAAAGTGGTTCACTATGTCATGATCCAGGAGTGTATTTTAATAAATACTAAACACTAAAAATTTCAGGCCCGATTCATCATCTCAGCACTCTCTCTTACTACTCATTTGTTCCAAAGGAACCATGTTTTAGCTATAACTGCCCAGTTATGAATGGGGAGGCAGCTTTCAGCCTGGTCCCACCAGAACCAGAAGAGGAGGTATGTTATAGAAGATAGGAATAGTCTCAAAGCAGGCCCCAGAACCAAGGCATCTTGATAGATCTTAACCATGGAAGAAACTCCATCCGAATAATACATACTTAGACCTTTTCTCCTACAGCATGAAGGAATTAAAGTCACAGATAGAGTATTACACTCTGTCTAGAGAGGGATGGATTGAAATTTTATTTGCTTTATTGGCTTGAGCAAATTTATGCTGTGGAAAGAAAACCCAGGAGACCAGATGCTCTGATATTTGGAGTAACTATGGGCATCTCCTGCTTAAAACCCAAAAAGTCAGAAGGATCGTGAGGCCCCACTTTCACGGTCTGTATTCATACTGAAAATCAAGATCAAGCGAGCTTTTGCCCTTCTGCTCCACGGGAGGTTTCTGTCCTCCCTGAGCTCGCCTTAGGACACCTGCGTTACGGTTTGACAGGTTTACCGCCCCAGTCAAACTCCCCACCTGACGCTGTTCTCAGAGCAGGTCGCGCCCAGCACGCGCCGGGGGGTTGGAGCCAGAAGCGAGAGCCCCTCGGGGCTCGCCCCCCCGCCTCACCGGGTAAGTGAAAAAACGATAAGAGTAGTGGTATTTCACCGGCGGCCCGGGGGGCCTCCCACTTATTCTACACCTCTCAAGTCTCTTCACAGTACCAGACTAGAGTCAAGCTCAACAGGGTCTTCTTTCCCCGCTGATTCTGCCAAGCCCGTTCCCTTGGCTGTGGTTTCGCTAGATAGTAGGTAGGGACACATGCTCCAGGGGTGTGGGGTGGAGCATTTCAATTAGAGAAGCTCTCAGGAGCTGTTCTAATTAAAGCACTGGCAGCATCTCATGTAGTCAATGTCCTGCACTTCAAAATGGCAGCAGGGATGCTTTAACTAAAGCTCATTTAGTGAGCTATGATTTTGAAGCTCAGAAATGCTGAATACACAAGATGCTGAGGCTGCCAGACTCTGCTAAGCATAGTACAGCAGACTCAATCAGGCTTGCTCCAATGTTCTGTAATTACAGTGCATCAAAGTAGGCATCCTGCACATCTAGTGGCACCCTATTAGAATATGTCGTTTCCTCACTGTACTACTGTTGCACAACACTGGAAAGGGTGTAAAGTCCATCTATTTTTGAAAAATTGATGACACATATATATATTTTAAGAGATGATATTATTTAGTGACTTTGCTATCCAATTGAATAACCAAGGAAACAAGATAAACAAATGAGTCCAAAGGAAGGACTTCTGCAGAAGCTGGGAGAGGGAGCATTTCAAGTTTAGGACAACAATGTGCTGAAAATGTTCTACTTGAACATGAGATTCCTAGTTATTATAACAAAACAGCTGATATTTAATAGTAATGGGCTTTACATATAGGAATATCTGTAACTTTTTTTTTAAACCTGGAATCACATTGAACAAAATAAATTGCTTGTACGCAGGTTCTTTTTGCAGAGATGGAAGTAAGACCATGTCCTCTCTGTTGACATTTTTATAAAAATCTAGTACTTAATGAAACACCTTTCCTCTTTTTCCTTCTTCTTCCAGGATATGATTGACCTACAACATCTATACATCACTGACAATAACTTGGATCACATCCCACTCCCACTCCCTGAAAGTCTTCAAGCTCTTCATCTTCAGGTAAACTAAAAAACTAGACGTACATGTGGGCCTCGATTCCCGGATGGTCCTTGGGAAACGGCCGCAGTTGCGTGTCGAGTGGGGCACCGGGTGGTGACACCAACCCAGACACGCTCGGGGATGCCAAGTGCGAGAGGGAGATGAGATAAGCACCACAGACAATGGGGTTTTAAATAAAATTTGATATTTACTTACAGAACTGTCGACACAACTTGAAGGGTGATATAACTTGGAGGCGATGAACTATATACAGCAACAAGGGACAAGTGGTGGGTGGCGGGTGGAGACTGCAGTATACGAGTACGATGTCTGGTTGGGACAAAGTACAGTGCGTTCCGGATTTGGCGATGCAGTAAACTATAATGCTCGGAGCGACCGGAGCAGCTTCTGCTATAGACCTAGGGGTCTGACCAGGCCCCAAGACGGGTGATCAATCCGTCCTGAGAGTCAGAGCCTGGGGACCCCGCACTAAGGCGTGCGGTCCCCTATATAACTTTTTTGGCCAATCAGGAAGCTCCCCTGATGGTACATTCTGGAACCCATGGACATGCTGGCCAGCCAGCCATGCCCATTAGGTGGTCTTTGATTGGCTAGACCACAGGTGATCACGCTCTGATCACGCATCGCTCGCATGTTGGGTCAAATTGCTGATACACTCCGCCACCGCATCACTATTTACAAATGGTTGCATCACTTAATACTTTGGTGCAATAATCTGGTGGGGTCACTTTGCTTGTTGAGAGTACATAACAATAAAAGATTGTGTTTAATTATCAGGAGGGAAAACCAATAATATTAAGATGTGTTTTACTTCACGTAAATTCTGTCAATCCACATGTTTCGTGGGATACCATGTTAAATCTAGGAATTGGATGCAAGAAGTGTTTTTTTTTTTCCCTATGCAAAAGGCTAGGGTTTTTGTGGGTGATATCTTTTGCAGAACCAACTCTGTGGTTGGGATAGATTTAGCTAGCCTAGTAAAAGATATCACCCACAAAAAATCCTTGCCTCGAGCAATTTCAGTCAGATGGTAGAAGCAGAAATTAAAATATGAAATAAGCCAAAAATGTCAGCCCAATCTAGATGTGAATCACTTACACACAAAATGTATCTTTATTATATTACAGGGGTGTAGGTTGTAGCTGCGTTGGTCTAAGGACATAGGCAGACAAGGTTCTTTGGGTGAATCCGATATCTTTTATCAGACTAACTTAAATAGTTGGAAAAAAAA